TCCACATCTTCTCCCGCATCTGTTGTCTCCAGAATTTTTAATGATCGCCATTCTAACTGGCGCGAGGTGGTATCTCAGTGTGGTTTTGATTTGTATTTCTCTAACAGTGATGATGAGCATTTTTTCATATTTTGTTGGCCTTATATATGTCTGTTCATATCCTTCTCCCACTTTTGGATGGTTTTGTTTGTTTTTTTCTTGTAAATCTGTTTTAGTTCCTTGTAGATTCTGGATATTAGCCCTTTGTCAGATGGGTAGAAAATACAAAATAAAAATTCCCATTCTGTTGGTTGCCAGTTCACTCTAATGATTGTTTCTTTTGCTATGCAGAAGCTCTGGAGTTTAATTAGATCCCATTTGTCTATTTTGGCTTTTGTTGCCAATGCTTTTGGTGTTTTAGTCATGAAGTCCTTGCCTATGCCTATGTCCTGAATGGTTCTGCCTCGATTTTCTTCTAGGGTTTTTACGGTGTTAGGTCTTATGTTTAAGTCTTCAATCCACCTGGAGTTAATTTCATATAACATAGTTTATAAAGAATTTATCCAGTACTTTAGAAGGTAAAATGTGTCATTATAAAAGAAAAGATAAGGAAGACTGGGACTCCTGAAGGAAGCAGGCAGAGGAAGGCTTATGACGTCTTAGGCAGAGAGGTCAGGGGAGGCCTCCCTGAGAAAATGACACTGGAGCAAAATCTTGGAGGATAGAAGGGCGTTCGTTCTATGTAGCACATTGTTTCTTCTTGGCAACCCAAGATGATCAGAATCAAATTTGAGGTTCAAGCACAGTACTCTAGAGGCCCCCGTGGTCTGTGCATTTGTAGTCCTTTGTCCCTTCGAGAGGCAGGATAGGACAGTGGTTAAGGGCATCGGTTTCACTGTCAACCTGGATTCAAATACTGCCTCTACCACTTACCAGCTCCATGACTTAGAGCATCATATTTCATTTCTCTGAGCCTCAGAGAAATGCTTTCCTGTGCTTCAAGATGAAGACAGTGATAGTACTTACCTCACATGGCTCTTTCAAGGGTTAAATAATGTACGCAAACTCCTTCGCACACAGAAATAAACTCAATAAAAACCAGCTGTGATTATTGAGCCTTGATCGTGTCACTCAACATTTATTTACATTTTCCTTAGTCCTGATTCTTTATCTTCACTGATATTTTAACATTGTTTTATGGATCCTGCTCCTGTGGTAAGCTACTTCAAATCCTTTGTGGATTGCAGTAAGTTATAAATAAGTAAGAAAATAAATAAAAAGTCTGGATAGGGGACATTTTCACTGAAGCAAAGCATTTCATTACCAAGACAGTGAATTGCAAGTGAGGTCAAAAGCAGGAAGGATGGACTCTAATATCCAACAGTCCATCAAGAACCACCAGTAAAACATTCTCTGGTTTCTCAGATCATCTTTTTCTCCCCATCTCCTCTTTTCTTAAATCTCTCTTCTTCCCTCCATCAAGAGAGAGTAAATGAGTCACACAAAATAACCCAAGAAGCCTCCCTAAGTCATCACAACCTCACAACTATTTCATTGCCATGGGCCTCATAGAATTCTTATTCCTCATCAGAGAAGAGAAAGAAAATCAAAGAGGTCACTTTCTATGGCTTGACAGGGTGCTGGTTAAGTGAACAGAGTCAGACATAAGCTAGAATCTTGTTTAGTGAGCTCTGTGACCTTGGGAAGGCCCCTGGACCTTTCTGTGCCTCCTCTTCCTCTTTGGTAATAGCAGTCCCTTCTAGGGTGCTTTGGCAGATCAGAGGAAAGAATGCAGGGAAGCAACGTGGATAGCTGATTTTTAAAGCCCTCGATAAATGCGAGATTTCCTTCCTGAACTGCAACCTGGGGTAACGCTCTTCAATAAGAGGGTGTATAGGGTGGACACAGGATAAGGAGACTAGCTTAGGTGCACCCCTGTCTGATAGAAACACAATACAAGAAACAAAAGGAGAAAGCTCTTTGTTGTTGTTGTCCTGCTACTTTCTAGAGGTATTGTCACACTTCTTCCTTGCCATAGCCCTTTGAGACGGGCATTATTATACACATGTGACAGCTGGGGATGGGCTTTGAACCCAGAGCACATAGCTAGGAATGTTTACAAGGCAGCTCCAGCTTTCCAAGGTTGCCTTTACAATGGGCAGGGGCAGCGATTAACCCCTACCACAGGACATCAGAGGCAACGCTGACAGGAAGCTGTGAGGTCCCAGACCACTAGAGTTCCATGACTCTGTGACCCCTGAGCTGGGGACATCAAGAGTCTGTGCCAGGCTGATGCTGCTGAAGCTCTCTAAGCCTTACTTCCTTCCCTTCCTTCCATCAGCCCAAAGGGCTTTTATGTTAAGGCATCCCTGCTTCTGTGACCATGGGCTACGGAACTGGTTAGATCTGAATTTGAAACACTCACCTCTGATTGTAAGAAACTGACATGCTTCTGCTTCCTCTTCTGAAATTGGGAACGTCAAAAGGCCCACCTCCCACAGATGCCATAAAGATTCAATAGAGCAGTGCCTTGAGAAAACACAAAACAGTAGCTGGCACATACCAAAGTGCCCGTGTATAGTAGCTGCTATTGTTACGTTGACGCAGCCTGGAGAAATCAGACTCATGCTGAACCATGGTGATGATACTCTGTGGGTGGGAAGCAGGTCCTGGCACACAGGCTGACGTATCTATGCACACTTCCATACAACCCAAGCAGTATGGCCTTTTTACCCAACATATAATCCTCCCCCATTCCACAGGAAACTCCTTGAGGGCAGCACAGGGACCTAGTTGGGTCTAGGTCTCTAGGCCTTTTCCCAGGAGAAAAAAAATAAAAGACCAATCAAGGCCCGGCCTAGGGCCTCCCGGTCAGTGCCCTTGATCCACAAACATGTACCAATGGGCCCTTCTGTGCTGGGAACTGGGGAGAAGGAAGACATCCCGCCCGACTTTCGGGGAGTTCAAAGTGCACCTGGGGAAAAAGACAAGGAACCACTATCACAGTAGACAGAAAGTAATGAGGGCTGAGTGTCCCCGGGAATATCGGGAGAAGCAGGTGATATTTAAGCTGGACCTAAAAATTAGTCAAGACATGGAAGGATGGCATTTCAGACTGAACAGACAATGTGAACAAGGGCCTAGAGATGGGAAAACACAGGGTTTGTTGAAAGAAAAGAGTTGTGAGGTGAGGCTGAAGGACTGGAATGGAAGGGGACTGAGGTGGGAGCCGGCAATGAGGCCAGTGAGCCTCAGGGGCAGGGAACAGAAATAAAAGTCATCGCTGTCATAGAGAAAATGAGGAGGGAGGGCCAGCGACTTGAAACAGAATAGTCACAGCACGTCTCTTAGAAGTGACGCATTGAGGCTGGGCACGGTGGCTCATGCCTGTAATCCCAGCACTTTGAGAGGCTGAGGTGGGCAGATCACCAGGTCAGGAGTTTGAGACCAGCCTGGCCAACATGGTGAAACTCCGTCTCTACTAAAAATACAAAAATTAGCTGGGCATGGTGGTGGGCACCTGTAATCCCAGCTACTCAGGAGGCTGACACAGGAGAATCACTTGAACCCGAGAGGCAGAGGTTGCAGTGAGCCAAGGTGGCGCCATTGCACTCCAGCCTGGGCAACGGAGCAAGACTCCATCTGAGAAGAAAAAAAGAAGAAGAAGAAGAAAGAAGAAATGACACATTGAAGAGGTAAAGGAGTAACCATATGACTATCAGGCGGAAGAGTTTCCAGGCAGACAGACCAGCAGTGCAAAGGTCCTGAGGCCACAGGGCTGCCAGGTCGGTTATACATTTAAAAGGCCAGTGTTACTGGAGCGTGGGAGAAGGGAGAGGGTGGTAGAAAGAGAGGTTAAAGAGTTAAAAGGGAGCCAACTCCTGAAGGGCCTTGCAGGTCATGATAGATCTTTAGCTTTCCTTTGGATGAAATGGAGTGCTGTGTAAGATTTCCAGTAAAGGAAGGACGTGCTCTGACCTAAAGGATCGCTCCGACTGCTATGTAGAGAATCAGCTGCAAGGGGCCAAGGGTGGAAGCTGGGAGACCAGTAAAGAGGCAATTACGGAAATCCCAGAGGAGGGGGAGGATGGTGGCTGGAACCAGGGTGGTAGCTTTATGGTGGCTCGCCTCTGATTCCCCGTCTAAAAATGGACTTTAGGATCCCTGCCCTGTTGCAACCCATAGCCCAAGCCCGCCCCCATGGGGATGGAAAGTCGGAAACCTCGGGCCAGCGCGGTAGCAGCGTGGAGAATACGGGATTGTGGGGGGATTGTGGGGAGATTGTGTGGGATTGTGGGGCTCATGGGCAGCTACCTGCACGTCCGGGTCCCTGGTGCTCACAAGAAAACCAAGACAGGTGCGTGCCCCACGCCGCACGTCAGGAGGGCAAGAATCCGTGGAGGGAGGGGCTGTCCACTCACTCTCGCTCCCCAGAGGCCGAACAGGGAGAATTAGGAAGAGGGACGCCTCCTCAGAGTCCTAGAACCGGTCCTGGGCACCCAGCATTTTGTGCGCCCTGGTATGCGGCCGCTCCGCTGCAGGTGTTGGTATCACGCGGGGTGAGCCACAGCATGCCCCCAGTGAGCCGACCGCCCCAAACTCTGCCCCCTTTGTCTCGCTGGGCCCTACTCCCTCTGTCTGCCTGTCTGTCCCGTCCCGGGTTCAGCGCTCATGGCCCTGCTGGGGTCCCTCTGGCTGTCACCGTAGCCGCGCGGCCCCACCGGGGGCTCCCCAGAGGAGAAAAATCATGAATGAAATGGATGCCGTAGTCCCACTCCTCCGCCCTCCCTGTCCAGGCAACCTTGGCGTGGGGGAGACGCATGCGGGGACTCCGCGCAGAGTTGCTCGGAAGAGGGGGGCACCTGAGATGGGGTCAGGGGTTAAGGGTCTGGGATCCGGCCCCCTTCGGGCCCCGGGAGCAGCCGGATCTCTCGGTTCCCCGCCCTGCCAGCCCCGCCAGCCCTGCGCAATTCCCGGGGAGCCGCGCAAGCCCGCCAGGGGGCGGGGCGGAGCTGGGGCTGGGGGTGCCAAATCCACCCGGCGGCTGCGCCGGCGACTCCGCAGCTGAAGCGCATTTGGTGAGGCGGTCGGGCAAGGGAGCGCGCACGGAGCGCGGGACGGAGCGCCGGGCGGAGGGACCGAAGGACGGACGGACCGAAGGACGGACGCCCCCGCACACGCAGACGCACTGAGCTCGGCGCGGCCCCCGTCGCACACACACTGGCACAGACACAGGCAGGGACACACGCAGACACACGCACACTCGCGCGCTCACATCCTCCCGCCAGCCTGCCCGCCCGCCCGCTCATCTGCGCCCGGAGCCCGCTCTGGCCGGTAAGTGCGGCGCCTCGGTCGGCGTCTTTGTGTGCGGAGTCGGAAGGTGGAGGGCGCGGGTCCCTCCTGAGGCGGCCCCGCAGCTGACACCTTCTCCAGCTCTCCGGGCAGAGGAGCCGGCGCCCGCCCCCGCCACGCCCCCGTGGGGCTCCTGGCGCCCCCAGATTGGGGGAGGGGTCCCCCAAGCAGAGGAGGGGGCTCGGCGCTTGGTAACCGGGTTGGAGCGGCGGCCACTCCCCACGAAGCCGGTGCACGGTTCCGGGGAGGAATTGGGATAGTGGTTTGGGGTCTGAGCCTCTGCGGCCGGCGGAGGCTGGTGCGCGGCTCTGGGCTGCATCGCCTCTCCAGAGCCTGAAGCCCCTGAGGGAGGTTGAACATCGCCGCTAGCCTGGTCCAGGTCTCCAAATCGCGGCTCCCAGCCTTTCCATCGCTTTGCCTCCACCGACCCTTTAGCTTTAGCCTCCGGCGTCCCACCCTCCCCCAGAATAAAAGCTTAGCGCGCTCCCTTCCCCCAGCATGCCGCTCGTTTCTGGATGAGGCGCAGGCTCCAGCAAAACCAGAGATTGCCCTGGTCAGAGCCTTGAGAGGGCTTGCCTTATCAAGGATCACAGGTCTTAGAAGGTCAGGGCGAGACGAATCTTGGGAACTTATTCAAACCCCTCATTTTACAGATAGGGAAACTGAGGCCCAGTAAGGTAGCTTGACCAAGGTCACCTGAGAGTGGTAAAGCTTGCATTAGAATCTAGGGTCCCTGGGTTTAATACTCATGGCCCCTCCTACACAACTAGATCCTACCCCCATTGAAGCCCCAGAACCCCAAAATTCACCTGAGTGTACCACGAAAGTCTAATTCCAGCCCTGCCCCACTTGGAGAGGCAGGTGCCATTCATTTGCTACCATCCGTACTGTGCCACAAAAAAAGGGGGGAGGGGGAGAGGGGAGGGAGCTTGGATTTGCTTCATTCAATCTCAAAGGAGAGCTCTCATGTCTCTTATGCAAACACTCAAACACTCTGGATTCGGAATTCCCTTTGGGAGAATGAAGAAGCCCTGGACCTGAGATCACATTCCCAGGTGTTAGTCCTGATCCACCCAGGATACACTGAGCCTGAGTATCCTCAGTTGGATTAGGTGATGTGGCATCCCAGGGTTTGTCCTCTTCTCTACTGTGTCCTGACTGCATGCCCTCCCAGTCACCCTTCCCTCCCCTTTAAGGGCCCAGGTCTTCTACCTCAACCAGGCCCCTTCCGTCATCTCTTTGCGGAGGTCCCCACCTCTTTCTCCTTGGGGCTTGTTAAGGGCAGCCTCTTGGTGCTGCTGACAAAGCTTCTGGGGAAGCTTGAGTGACAGTCACCCCAGGTTCGGGTGGTTTCTCAGCACAAGGCTCCCTCAAGGGCAGCCGGCTGTCCCCAGAGCTGAACCTGATGCCTGGTGCAGAGAGGGTGCCCCGAGAGGTGTGTTGAAGGAGTACAAGCCTAGACCGATGGTGAAGGGATGGAGTCAGTCACCTTGGAGGAGACTCTGGATGGAATAGTTGGCAAGGAGGGCAGTGTTCAGTCTCTAGGGACCTGATGTTCTGGTGTCAAGAACTTCCTTTTTAAAATTATTTTCTTTCCATCGGGCTTTTGGGGAACAGGTGGTATTTGGTTACATGAGAAGTTCGTTAGTGGTGATTTGTGAGAATTTGGGGCACCCATCACCCAAGCGGTATACACTGAACCCAATTTGTAGTCTTTTATCCCTCACCCCCTCCCTCCTTTTCCCCAGTCACCAAAGTCCATTGTGTTGTTCTTATGCCTTCGAATCCTCATAGCTTAGCTCCCACTAATGAGTGAGAGCATACGATGTTTGGTTTTCCATTCCTGAGTTACTTCACTTAGAATCAGAGTCTCCAATTCCATCCAGAACTTCCTTTTTGAGTGGGGTGAGGAGATAATCATGGAGCTGAGCCAGGGTGGCCAATTAGCAGAACTTCAGGGGCTGCTGCTGACCATGTAGTCCATATAGATGGCATTGTGCTCCGAGAAGCACTGTTTACACAGACTTCATAATGAATGGTGGCCCTGGGGTTTTGCCATGTAGAGGTCCTACCTTGAGAGTGAAGAGATCTGGATTCCAGGCCCAGTGTCTTCCTTACTGGCTGTACAATGTCAGTGTATAACCCTCTGGGGTCTCAATTTCTCCATCCAAAAAATAACATCATTGGATTGATGATGTTATGAACTACTTGGCAGTGGGGCAGGGGGACCACTTATTTAAATAACTGCTATGAGCTTCTTTTGCTCTGTGAAGGAATAATTTCTGACTCAAGGATAATGTATGCAGAGTACTTAGTACAGTGCCTGGCTCACGAATTGGTAGCTAGTAATTCCATTAGGACCCAGCTTTGTGGATGTACCGTATACTTTTTCCTTTCTTCACATCATCCAAGCACATGGGATTCTTAAGGCCTCAAAGTCCTCCCCCCTCAAAAAAATCCTTTCCCCACTGACCTGGGGCTCAGCCAGCATAAAACATCCATGAAAACTCCCTGGGAGGAGCAACTGTTTATTCAACGTTTTATATGTTAGCATGATAGAATTTCCTAATTAATTTGTATATAGTGTCAAAAGCTTTTCCTATACTTTGTCACTTACTCCTCGTAACACATCCGTGACATCAATAGTGTTACCCCCATTTTACAGATAGGGAAATTAAGACTTGGATTTTCACTTATGTAAGGGCGCATGCCGTGAAAGTCTCAGATCCAGAGAGCTAGGCCTCCAGCTCAGATGATCTGATTCCAGATTCTGAACTCTTTCTTCTGTGTCATATTGCCTGTCCTTTCCCAAGACTTGCCCTAAAAAAAGAGGCAGATAACCCCTTAAAAACAGTTGAGAAGAAAGGGGAATTTTCTTCTCCTCACAAGTCAGGAATGGCTTCTTGGGGAAGCCAGGTAGCATTCAAACTGGGTCTGAATGATTTGTACTTAGAAGAAAGGAAGAAAACTATTTCAAGGAGTGGAAACAGCATAAGCAGAGGCTGGACAGGTAAGGGAGACTTCTAGGATACGTACAGAAACTGCAAAGCAGTTTATTCCCACTGGAGCCAAAAGAACAAAAAAAGAGTCTTGAGAAAGAAGGTTGGGTAAGGGGATGGAGGTGATGGAGGGGGCACTGACTGCCATGCTAAGGGGTTGGCAGTCTTTAGTTTTTGAGTGAGGGAGAAACATGATCAAACCTTAACATGATTAAACTCACTCTGGCTACCCTATGGAGAACAGATTGGATGAGGAGAACCCGTTGGCCAGAAGCCCAGGTAGGAAATGATGACAATGGTTTAGGTGAGATACAGAGAGTATGGACTGGGGGTGGTTGTAAGAATGGTTTGAAAAAGGAGTTGATGCGAGAGGCCACAGTATCACTGAAATTGGTAACTGATTGGATGTAGGCACTAGCCGGAGGGAGGAATAAGTGATGGCAGGGCTTTGAGACCAAATGGCCAAGGATGCCATTCACAGACAGAGCCCATCAGGAGGAGGAGTGGGAGGCTTAGGAGTAGGGGCTGTGAATCTACCAGGGACCATCATGATTCCTCCTAAAAAGCTGGTTCATCAAGCACCCTAAACTATCAAGAACCAGTTCATCTAGTCATTTATTATCCAAATACTTATAAACATCTGTTACATGCCAAATTGTTCTAGCCCCTAGGGATACATTGCTAAAAAGACAAACTTCCAGCCCAGGGTCTACCAGGGGAGACAGCAAATAAAACATAAGCAAAGATAAAATTGTTCAGGTGCTGAGCAGTGAGTGCTTTGGTGAAAAAGTAGGATGAGGGTTGACTGGGAGGAAGAGTGGAGGAAGAGACTTGCCTTAAAATAGAATTGTCTTTGAGGAAGTGATATTTGAACAAAGACCTGAATGAAGAGACCTGGGGAATAGCATTCTCAAAAGAGGAGACCACAGGTGCAAAGGCCCTGGGGTCACCAAAGCTTGGTGTCTTCAAGGAACCTGAAGTGTAGATGTAAAAGATAGACAAAAGGGGAAAATAATAAGGGAAAAGGTGAGAGAGTGGGCAGAGCCAATCTTGTAAGGGCCTATAGACCTCAGAAAGTTGCATGATGTTAATGAATCTAAGAGAACACATGTCCTGTTCACCTTATATTCTTTGTGCCTAGCAAACCAAGCCTGTCCCTCCACAGTAAATAGTTGAATGAATGAATGTATGTTGGAAATGACCAGTTATGTATGAGACTGCATATCTTGGACTTATATGAACCAATAAATAAAGATGTTATGCCGTAGGAAGGGTATAGTAAGCTGTACTGTGATGAAAATAATAAAGCTCAGATAATTTGAATTCTGTATTTTCACTCAAGTATGAAAATTAGTGAAATCTGTATCTTTTATTCAATGCAGCTTGACATTATAAACATTGCTGTTGACTAAGACTAAATAGTAAAACATACCTGAAATAACTGTAAAACAATGAAAACGATAATGTTTTTCATCTTCCTTCATCCTCCTCCCAGCACAAATACACATCTTTCTGGCTTCATTTCAAATTTCCTCTTGCACTCTCAACTGTTTCCTTTGTAGAGGTTTTAAAGAAACTTATCTCTAACACAAAGACCTGTATTTGCAGGACGAGATGTTATCATCTCCAGTAAATTGACTTATCTTAGGGAATTATGGAAAATAAGATTTCTTTAACATCTCCATCTTTTCCACATCTGGTGAGATGTGGAACAAGCATCGTGGCCACCAGTGTCTGGCAAAACTTAGAAGTTTCCAAACTCTTAGACTGAGAAAAGCTTTTCCCACTGTGCTGCAGCACATGTAGCAGAAGCCTGTCTCCTTCCTGGGTCCCCGTTGAAGCAAGTGTGACTCAAGTTTCTATACCTGGGGTGTAGCATGTTGGATGGGGAGGGGATCCCCTCACACCAGATGCAGGAGATCCAATGTTTGCAGATTTGTAAGGAAACAAGCATCTTGGGAATTCCTAACTTTGGGGTAACGT